CTCCAACCTAGTAGCGACGGCCTCCAACCTACTAGCGATGGCGTCCAACCTAGTAGCGATGATCGCCTCCAACCTAGTAGCGACGGCCTCCAACCTACTAGCGATGTGTGAGCGACGCGAACGGTCTTGACCGCGTCGACGGTCAAACGCGCACGCGCAGCTGTTTATCGCTCACGAGTTCAGTCCGAGCGGTCGTTCACGCGGTGAAACAGAGCTAAGCGGCTACCTACAGCTACCTACCGAGCTCAACCTCAAACCATTCAGCGGCTTGAGCCAAAAGTGAAACACATGCAACTACTAGAGGGCTACGCATGCTTCTATCCACAGATGGCGTCCAACCTAGTAGCGATGGCCTCCAACCTAGTAGCGACGGCCTCCAACCTACTAGCGATGGCGTCCAACCTAGTAGCGATGGCCTCCAACCTAGTAGCGACGGCCTCCAACCTACTAGCGATGGCGTCCAACCTAGTAGCGGTGGTCTCCAACCTAGTAGCGACGGCCTCCAACCTACTAGCGACGGCCTCCAACCTACTAGCGACGGCCTCCAACCTACTAGCGATGGCGTCCAACCTAGTAGCGGTGGTCTCCAACCTAGTAGTGATGGCCTCCAAGTCTGTCCGAGCCACTTGAATGGTTTGGTGGTGACACTGCCGCGATGGAGGGAGTTTGCTTTGTCAAAGTGGTCGTCACGATGGAGGTGCTCACGGTAGGTGTTGATGGACCTTCACGGAGGCGCAAGCTCAGCCTGCTAGCTCCCATTTTCCCAGACATGATAAAATCTCACAAATTATTTACTGACTGTAAGCGGATTTCTGTTGTTTTCTGCATCATTTTTGGGCAAATTGCCCTGCCTTGCCCAGAGAGGGCTGGCCGCACCATGTCATCCTCCACATCCCCCAGCCCATGTGCCTGTGGCAAATATTTGTTGTTGCACAGAATGACACACTCAAGAAAAAGTGCGTACCACCTGACTCCTCAAGCCTGACGAAATCTCAGCAAAAGGAAACCTAAGAAGTTAGGTAACACTGCAGCATTGTGCCGCAAAAGTCTCCAAATGTGGTAGAAGTGTCAAGACTCAAGTTCCAAAACTCAACGAAATGCAAGTCTGCCGGATACATCGCCCTTTACTGCAGCACGGCAGAAACAACCTCCGAGACACTAGGTTGGATCGTAGTTAAGCAAACACCACACACTTCTTGAGAAAGCAGGTATTCTACCAGCATCCAGGATTGTGATGGCCGCATGTCCCCTGCTAAGAGTCCGAATCTCTAACTCAAATCGGAAGACAACCTATGACTCCAAGGTGTACACACACATAACACATGCTGCACAACATGCTGCAGTGGTGGAGGACGCAAGAGTTGTGGCTTTCAAAACGTCTCATGCCTGAAACAGCGTTGCTAGGCCATCCTTCGCCTGAGCCACTCCAAGAGAAGATCAGCAAGCTGCAAGGGCAAATGCAAACATCAAAGCAGCATGGAGGCCATCGCTATTAGGTTGGAGGCCATCGCTAGGTCGGAGGCCATCACTACTAGATTGGAGGCCATAGCTATCAGGTTGTCATCTTTGCCGATTCAATGCTTGAGTCTGGAAACATGACGAAGATCCAGCGAGGTGGTGGTGACAGAGTTGTGCTGGAGTCCTTGGACGTCTGAAGGAGAGGGCTTTGGGGACGCAAATTACACAGGGCCGCGCTTGGCTCAATGCTTGGTTCATCCAGTTTCGCACACGTGCAAGGCAATGGCTGCGCCTTGGGTCTGAAGCAGTGTGGCATCCGCCTCTGCAGCCAGAATGGCAGCACTGAACTCACCTTGGTCACTCAGATCTTAAGGTGAACATGTACAAAGAAATATTAATGAAATAAGTACATATATATACTTCGGTACACCATGTTGCCCAGTGTTGCGTTGAAAGGCAGTTGTTGTCAAACAGAATCAAAGGGTTTCAGGTGTTGTCAAACAACTCGCAGAAAGCGGTCTGTTTGCTCAACTCCATCCTCACCTTTCACAAAGAGTCAAAGGGCCTTCTGTACGAATTTCTTCTAATCGACGCTTGATGAAATCCTGGACCCAACGGCTTGTGCTATCAAACTGACAGCTGCTGGCAAAAACCAACAAGCATCTGCATCGCAAACAACCACTCCTTCTCTGTATCATCGAGCTTCTTTACTTCCACCTGCACTCCTTTGGTTCTTGCAGCATGCATGGCCACCCAGCGGGCTTGTATCCGCCATCTGACCTGGCACACCAAGAGATGCACAAGTTGTGAGACCGGTGGCCAGTCCACAGCAAAGTAGTGCTTCGCTCTGCAGTTTTGTGCCATGTCATGCCTCTGCAAAGGCTGCAACAGCCAAATGCAAGACTGCCAAAATCGCCAAAGTGAAGACCAGCGCCAAGCCACGCAAGTTGTACCTGTTCACCTCCCAGAACATCCACTACAAAGCTGAAAGGGACTGAAAGGGGCACAGTGTGCCTTGATTCGTCAGCTCAGAAAGTATGTTTCAAGATGTTTCAAGTCAATGGTCATGGCTTTGGCGCAAGACATCAAGACAAAGGAAGCAAAGGAAAGTGGCATCGAAGCCCTCCATTCAGAGACTACAACAGAACGCCTATCAGAACTACGCCATGCATCATGTTCTGAGGTGCAACGTCGGGTGCTGTTCTTAAGTCGGGAAGAATGGAAAGAACAAGGAAAGGCCTTGCTAGTAGCTTCTTGCTCCTAGTAGTAAAGGCCAGGTGTTACTAGTAGCTTCTTGCTCCTAGTAGTAAGGCCTTGTCTACTCTGCAAAACCTTGTCACAGCATTGGCTCATATTGAATAGAATCCAGGAAACTGAAACTCACCACGCGACCAACCATGGAGCCTTGTCCCACCAAGACACTGCATACTCTCGCGTTGTGATCGTTACTTGAGGTGGAAAGGGTGTCAATTCGGGCCTGCAAACATGATCCAGCGAATCAGCTTTGCACACAACTTCTAATCAGCTTCCGTCGAAACAGGGTTGCAAATTGGAAAGAGTCACGATGCAGTTGCAGGACGCAAGTTGTTCAACGACTTGTCCTCCTCTCGGCTATGGCCATAGCAGGATGCAACGCCCAACCTTCGCACTCCTTGGAGGACGTTACTAGTAACAAAGGGCATCGCTACTAGGAGCAAGGACGCTACCAGTAGCTCCTGGCCATACTGCTAGCAGCAAGAAGCTACTAGTAGCTCCCGAGACTTGTTAACACCCAATGCGCCGAAACTGGTTTTGTGGTCTGATGGTGAAGTTGCTTGGTCCTGTGAATCCAAATTGAATTTATAGAAGAAACCGGGAAGCCGATGGTCTTTGATAAGGCCCTTACATTTTTTGCATATCTATCTATCTATGAAATATATAATAGCTTGGTTCAGCGAGTCCGGTGAGTCCAGTGTCCCCGGGTCCTTCCAGTCTGGAGCTTTGCTATTCTTTTTATATCAAATCAGTGTCAATGGATGATTCTCCCATGCTGAGTGCGCAGGTATTAGTGCAAGGTCTTGGCTGGCCCCTTGAGTCAAGGCATTGCGATTTGGTTTGGTTTTCAGCAAAAGGGGACAATGCTAATGATACAGGATTCCAATGAATAGTGAGCCAACGGTCAGTGCCTGGACCTCACTTCTACGGATGGCCTGTCCTTCTGCTGTCCAACCTAGAAGCCAACCTACTAGCGATGGCCTCCAACCTGAAAGCGATGGGCTATCCAGCATTTCATGCATAGTTTACTGTCTCTTGCAACCTAAACCGGGAGCCAAGCTCCAAGCGACAAACATGATTTTAAAAGAATAGTCAGGCTTGTCCCGGCATGAGTGGCGCACACACACACACATACATATATGGTGATAATATGAATTGCATGGAATTGCTTTGTTGAGATTTGCTACAATAAATATCATCAAATTGGGGCACGTGATCACCCAGCGGTGTGTTATTGAGCTATTGCGTATTCAATGCCTTGTGATGCCTTGTGCATGTATGTGTGGAGGTGCAAGCCTACATAGACAAATTGCTACACTCATGCCTCTTGTTTCAAGCAGGCCATGTAACATGTGCGGTTGAAGACTCAAGGAAAATCCATATATATATATATATTATATATATGTGTAAACAACAAGTAAATATGAATGAAGACAACAGAAAGGAATAGAATTATTTTTCCAAAAGGTGAGAGATCAGAGAGTTTGTAACCACATCATATCAAGGAAAGAAAATGAAGGGAAGCCAGAGACGGCAGAATTAGACAGAAGAACATAGTAAGCTCTGCTTATTCTATCTTTGCTGTTTCTTTATGTCCTCCATGCATGTTCCTTACAATCGTTGCTGCTCTTCTTCTTTTTGCAGCTGAACAGGTAGCATAACTTTGTTGATGCTTATTATTTGATTTCTTGTTATCTTGCCTTATGGAATGGACATACATATATAGCGTTTGTATATTTTTTCTGATATGCACTCATGATCCAACAAATAGATTATATTAGTTGTCATGCCTTTATTGGATCGCCTTATTAGTGTTCCTTTCTTATTTATAGTTTTTAGTAGAGAAACGTGCTATATGTTATGATAATAAAGAACAAATAATCATTATTACTTATTATATACTGATTATGAAACCCTATGCTTTTCATTTATCTGCACCATCTAGGAGGAAAAATCTACGCCTTTATATATGACAAACATTAAAGTTGTAAGTGTCCATGAAAATGAAGAAGCAAAGCAAGAAGAAGCACCAGAAATAACAGACGAGACACACCAAGAGAATTACCTCCATGGAAGCACAAATCAACTATGAATCAGGTGCTAAAGAGATTCAACTAGACCCATGGCAACAGTAAATCCACTGAATCATCTAGCACATAACTATCAGATATTGCAAAATGAATATATGACAGAAGCAACAATTTCTGCAAAGGAATGTTCAATAGCAAACCTCAGAACAAATAGTAATTCTGTTTGTCTAAAATATGTTTAATGGTTTCATTAGACTGAGGAACAGTTTTAAGATGAACTGAATTTACAAAGCTAGAGATTGCAGGATCATTGCATTTAACAACAGAGGCCTATATTCAAAGTCAAGTAGCAAAAGGTGGAGGTGGTCGAGGTGGTGGAACTTATACAAATACTCAAATTGCTGAATGGTCAGCTTTTCAGCATTCAAAGCAAATTTATCAACAACATATAGTAAAACAATTACAGCAAAGTAGTGCAACAAGTTTATAAACTTCACCATGGAGTTTACAAACTATACTTGCTCACAACTCTTTGGTAGGGTGGTAGGGCCTGGTAGGGTAGGTAGGGGGGCCCCCCACCCTCCTTCAAGAAGACCAAAAAGACTTCACAGTAACCCCTCCCTTCCACTCTGCTTCAAGAAGACTTCTTAGTACCCCCGCTCTCCACTCTTCTTCAGGAAGACTTCTTAGTACACTCTCCCCCCCACATAGTTTATAGACTTAACCCCTAACCATTTGGTGTTTAAACTGTTTGAATATGTTTGAATGATGATCTTAGATCATGTAGATGCAATCATGCACATATCATGTGATGCTGCACACATATGTACACATCATATGCACATGATGTGATGTGCATTGCTGTATACATATGCACAAAAATACATATGCACATGATGTGATGTGCATATGCATGCATGTATCCATAAGCAACCGCTGATCTTGGGGGGTACATATGTATTTATATATTGATAAATTCCGAAGAGGAGATGCTGACATGCCTCATCGAATGTGTTTTGTATTTTTTTCCCGGCCCAGGCTCGCAAAGAAGTTCGAAGTGACCGGACTGAAGCAAAGGCCATTGGCGACCTTCAAAGGGAACAGTTAGTGTTGCCCGACCCGAGACATCCCGAGACTTTCTTCAATCAAATAGAAAAATTGCATTCTTGTTGCGGAAAAGCACGTTCTAAAATTAAGCACATGACGCAAAAGCCGTCAGCTGTTATATATTGAATGATATTGAGTTATTCACCCTTGACTCATGACACGTCGCTGCTGCTACCGCTGCTCTCCATCGTTCCTTCGTATCACAAGCGCCTGGCTCTGCCACCAGCGTGCAACCTAGTGCAGGGACAAACCGCTGCAGCGGCTCTGACCAGGCAACGCACTCCAACTCTGAAGGATCAACGCCTGAAAAGCTTAGAAATCTCCAAATCATGTCAAATTCAATTAATTCAAACAAGAACACACATGAAACGTAAGGCAAGAGAGAAAGGACAGCCGAGAATTCAGTGAAGCTGCCACAGTCTTGGGGTGGCAAGCATTCCACATCAGGACCTCAAGACTTCACAAATGATCACAACTTAGTCTCACATCGGTGTGGCTAGGCGTTTGTGCTCGTCAATACTACTAGCGTGGCACTTGTTTCTAATAGCTTCTTGTTACTACTAGTAAGGCACTTGTTACTACTAGCGTGGCACTTGTTCCTAGTGGCATATTTGATAACCCAGGAAAACATCTAGTTGATTGGATGCTGCCTGTTAACCCATTGTGGATCTGATGGTTTAGCTGAGCTGCACAACACTGCCCACAGGTCTGCCACAGTACTTGTGGTGGTTCGGGTTATGGTTGAGGTCCTTGGGATGGGTATTTCCCACTCCGGTCCACCTGCAGAATCTGCCCAATAGCTTGCATTCCACCAAGAGGGCAGCCCTTTGTCCAACGCTTCCAGCACAAGGTGTAGCGGTCTGAAGCCAGTGTTGTCGACCACTTTGAGAGCTGCTGGATCCAAAGCTGAGAATACGTCACTCAAATTCTGAGTGGGTGCCAACTTCGGCACCTCGGGAATCAACCATTCAAGTCATGGCAAACATTGACACATTCAGGCCCGTCAACTTTCATGCAACAGCAAAAGTCATTCCTTCCAAACAACTTTTCTTCTGTGATAAATCTGATTCAATAATCCATCAACCTATGTAGCAATGTACTTGCACCAGCAGTCTGATAAGACTGATGCAACTATGATGTGACCTTGCTGGCGGGGCGTTACTTCAAGGTTGTGGAGGTCTTTAAGTTTCGGAGACCTTGGCTCTTCTTGTTACTAATAGCGATGGCCTCCAACCTAACAGCGATGACCTCCAACCTAATAGCGATGGCCTCCAACCTAATAGCGATGGCCTTCACCCTAGTAGCAATGGTCTCCAACATTCTCCAACCTATTAGAGATGGCCTTCACCCTAGTAGCAATGGCCTCCAACCTAATAGCAATGGCCTCCACCCTAGTAGCGATGGCCTCCAGCCTAGTAGCAATGGCCATGGCCTCCAACCTAGTAGCTTCTTGTTACTAGTAGTAAAGAAAAGCAAAGAATGTCTTCTTGGATCATCGTGGACATGAATAGTACACCCAGTACCTACTCCAATCCTCAGGGCATATGTTGTGGGAGCGGTTGAGAGACGCATGGGCTCAGGTCGTGGCACGGCAGTCTCATTGCGCTACGTGCGGTGTCTTGGCTTCAGTTGATCATTGGTTCCAGTGTCCCACCTTCTCTTCATACTTTGGCATGTTTGGGGATTTGGCAACATGAGTTCATCTTCACGTGTTGGCCTCACGTAACCCAGTGGTGATTGAGCTGGAGAACTACTTTGCTCTCTGCGCGGCTCTGCTTGCGCCGAGCCCGTGCATTCGCGCATCCGAGAAAATGGAGATCTTAAACAGGTTGATCCGACAATCTCTGCACTGCGCCACTGCGCTCTTACATTCTTTGGGGGATGCTCGAATTCGCTTGTTGTCTCTCTTCTCAAACAATTTTTGTGACCCGTTTTCTATTCGATGCGTATAAAACACCATCTTTCATGTGTTTTTCTCGTTCTCCTCTTGCCTGGCACCAGCTGCTGAGAAGATCCGAGGCATCCAGCCCTCTCGCTGCCCAACTCTCAGCAATTGCCAGGTTGGACTTATCCAAGTCCAAAGCCAAGGCACGAGAGAAGACCTCATTTGCCGTTAGTTCTCAGTGAAACACTGAGCGAAACATAGTAAACCTCATCAAAGACACTGATCATCAAACTCACTCATGTCCGTTGAGCACTTGCAACGTAGGCAAAGTAGATCAAGAGGATC